AATGTTAAAAAAAGGTGAAATTAAAACAACAACACAAGGTTTCATTTATGGGCGCAGATTGACAGGTCTTTTCTCCCATGGAGTCACTGGTGACTTTGAACCATGACATTTTGAGTTGAAAGTCGAGTGCTTTCACTGTGAACCACCAGAACTTAGCCCTAAATTTGCTGGAAACCAAAACATCAAGAAGATAGAACTTGAGGAACTTAGAATATTGTAGTGATTTGTTCCCATTCTCTATGGGAAGCTTTTGGCTTTCCATGCAGCAGGATAATTTGCTGGGGTCCCTGTCCCCAGTTTCTTGTAGGCAAGGCTGAATTTCAAGGGCTTTCTCCTGTGACTGTCACATGAGAAAAGCATCTCATTATAGAGGTAGCAGGACTGACCATTGCCTTCATAGCCCAGGTTATTGCTTAAATTAAGACCCTAAAACTTTCGTAGCTCTCTCTTCTCAGGGTTGTTTTATTCCTCAACCTCAGTCATTAGGCTTGTTTTTACATTTCCTTATGTGCCTCAAACTCATCTGTCCCTAATTCATAATGTTTGAGACTCTCCCCATGAGATAGACCATACGTCTCCAGCAGAGGGGTTCTTGCTCCCCACTGAAGAGAAATCTCTCAGTACGTGCAGGGTGATTGTGGAGATGATTGGGGATTTCCCAGGACGAGGAAGGGAGACAGTTGCTTTGGACGCAACGAGTCCGCTTTCATAGGTGTTTCCTCATACGCTGGTCCATCCCCTATGACTCAGCTCCGGGCAGGTGATGCTGTAAATCCTTTCACAGTCCCTTCTTACAGTCATCCTCATGCCACAGCAGTCATCTATAACAGAAGACACTGGCTACCCTGCTCTATTCTGCACTAGTTTGGTAAGTACCCACGAGAATTGTGATAAGGACCCGATTAGCTAGGATTAGGTCTGGACGCAATTGTAAAATGAGCGTTTTATTTTCTTCATAGTACAAGTTTTAACCACAGAGCTGCTCAGATCTCTCCATGACACGAGTATGAACTCACTCTTGAACCCAAAGATCCTATATCCCATCCCTTTAGTGATCTTGTCTCTTTATTTTTCAAAGTGATGGGGAACTAATCTGATAAATAAATGCTAATTAATTCCTCTCCCAGAAAACATCGTTCAATACTTATAAATATCTCTTGAAGAAAATGGCATCACTTTTTATTCCTTAATATGCAGGATTAAATCTACAGAATACAAAATGTTATTGTATGAAAGAGGGCGTTTACTTGACTTTGTAGCAAAGTTATTTTGAAATAAAATAAGAACTGTCTAATGCTTATTTGTAAAAGAATGTTAAGATTCAGAAGTATGGTTTGAGTCTCAGATTATCCCATGTGATCATTTATTTTTGAGCATATTTATTTGCTTGCATACTGGGCTAATTATAAGCCCCCATATGAAAGCATAATACTGATATTGATAATAATGCCCCTAGTTATTTTAGTTGTCTTTAAAACATTTTATAACCTATTACTTCATTTAATCTCAATTTTAAAAACAACTTTGATAGTAGTTAGAGTAGGATGTTATGGTATCAGGTTAACACTCTCATTCTTTATAAGTGAGTGAGCTGAAGATCAGAGAGAAAAAGTATTTTTCCTCAAACTCTCTCATTAGAAGGTGGTAGAGATGAGACTAAGAAAGCAGTCTCCTGAATTTTAATCCATCATTGCATAGTGGGCTGTGAAAAAACAAAACAATATGTAAGTAGAAGGCAAAACCCTGTCTGTCACTATAGTTTAGCACAGTGGTTTGTGTATTCTGTTGTCAGACATTTGACCACTCTCTTTTTCCGTCATAATCTTCCTTTGTGAAATATGGATAGCATCTCACTGCTGAATGAATAATGAATGATTTTCAGGATCCAGTGAGATCATGGCTATGGAAGTGCTCTGATAATGCTTTGTCAGGACACAGGTATTGTGGAATACTGTGTTAACTTCTGAATTAAGATTGTTTTAAAATGGAGGCACGATGTTCATATCACAACCACCCTGTAGCAGTTCAGGAAATTAGAGACCCCTTGGTCAAGCAGGAATAATGAAATGGCTACCTATCTAGCACTCTTTTTTAAAATTACACTATTCTAGCTTATCACATATCTGAAATGAGTCTAAATTTACTTGTTCATAATTTTACATTTACATTTGTACATATGAGTAAACAGGCTATATATGTATACATTAGTGATGCATCTCCTTAGTTTATGTTTATTTCTGTGGTATGTCTGTGAAATCATTTTTGGGTTTCAACAATATTTTGTGAATTCTTACAAATACATAGAACTATGTTTTATATATAATCACATATTGAATATACATAAATGTTCAATATGTATATAATACAAAAGTTCAGCAACATACAATTTGCTTAAGCAACCCTTCCATAGTCTGAGAGCAAAGTAGTACAGAAAAAACATAAGCACGCTAGCATATCAGGAGAATCATGGGTCAAAGATTTAAAGCACACGTGTCTATATTTCTCTCTATGAGGGTTCATATCTTTGAATGTGTATATGAATAGATATCACTGAAATGAGGGCTTGGGAGGACATTTATATTTATGAGGTGAGTCGAAAAAATGACTCAAAGAAGCTAAGAACTACAGCCCCAGTAGCCATTCTCTTCTAGCTTGAATTTTCTGTTTCAAACTAAGAAGCTGAAGGACTGCACGCGGGACAGCTGCTTTTCCCTGCCACGTTACGCGATCCAGGAGAAGGGTGGGAGGCAAGGGGTGTGTATTACGCGGATGAGAGAAAGTGCTCATCTACAAATACAAGGCTGTGTAAATGTCAGCTACTAGGTCGATGCATGGGTGTGCTGAGTGTGTTTGCGAGGGGATGAATGATTTGCCATGGATTTGGCACGTGGCATGATACATCTCTGTGGATGTATGACTGCTAGAATAATAACCTAGCTTTCAAACTATATGACTGATGGAGTCTTTGCGTCTCTACCTCAAGTACCTCCTAAGTAGACCTTAATGTCTGGGCTGGCAAGCAAGAGAACGGGCTTCCTGACATGCCATGCATTTCACAGAGCATCCCGGCTCACTAAAAACAGGCCAGGTGGGGTCAGAGTTGATAGATGAGGAATATGCCTGATGAGAAAAATAAGGGCGCCTCCGTGTGGATGAGAACCCCCACACAGAACCTGCTTTGACAGACGCAACCTTCATGGAATTTGAGTCTCCTGCTGATTTAAACCTAATGGGACAAAAAGAGCGCATATAGTCTTTCTTTTATAGTAGTTCATATGCAAAATGATATTACAATTTAGAAATCAGTGTGTGTATCAAATATAGCACACCTATATGCACATATATTGTCATACACACACACATACTTACCCAAATTGGCTCACTCATAAACAAGGAAACTGCACATCTACAAACATGCATAAAAAGAAATGATTTTTATTCACAACAGAAATATCTTTGAGGCAGATATAGGTAAATTTAAAAGATATTCAAGCAGAAATGTATATCCATATCAGATACATCTGAAGACACAGGCATAGGCACTCATTCCCTGTGACATAAGCACTTATGAATAGGTACTGATATGTATGCATGTGCTCACATGAAAACACATGTGGAAACATTTGTGTATGCATGTAAATTCATACCTACATATCTATATGAGACATATATGAGGGGCATGTGGAAAACATTTGAGAAATGGCACACATAAGAATATGAAATCTGGTGGGTTCAAATCCAGCAAAACTTCTGAGGAATCGTTTTTAAAAACTTAGATGCAAACAATTTATAAAACACATTTATTTGAGGTTTAATCTAAACTAGGAATTGGATTCAGAACAATGAATAAACAACATCGTCTTCCCACGAGGATGTCACAGTTCATTGAGGAGGAAAAGAGATAGTGGAAATAGGAAAAGAAACCTGTTCCTCCCATGGTTGCTACTGAGGAAGCCAGTTAAGTTGTGAATGAAGCCACGCAGAAAGTCAAAGTTAAATGTAATGGAAAAATCACCTTGGGGAGGGAGCTGGAGAAAGCTTTGAGGGCAGTCATAGAAATGTTCCCAGGTAAAAGCTAACTAGAAGGGTCTCTGGTTTCCCAGTGATTAAGTACTTGTCTGCTAACCAGAGGCTTGAAGCTCTTCGCCATTCTGTGAAGCAAAGACTGACAGCCTGCCCCTGGTCGCAGAAACACTGCAGGGGAGCCCTGGCAGAGTGAGTATTGGTTACATCTTGGGCTGTGAGCCAAAAAGTCAGCAGTTCAAACCCACCAGCTGCTGTGGAGGAGAAAGATACGGCTATGAACTCTCGTAAAGGTCTTGGAGACCCACACGCACAGTTCTACTCTGTCCTGTAGAATTGGGATCAAATCGATGGCAGTGAGTATGATACACGGCTCAATTCTGTCCTATAAGGATGCTATGAACTGGAATGGACTACGCAGCAATGGTTTGCTTGTTGCTGTTATTTTTGGGCTCAGTGGGCATAAGACTCAGTTTTCTGAGGTGACTCTGCTCTGTCCTGAGTCACAATCGACTCCGTGGTAAGATGAGGATGAGTGTGCATAAACGTGTGTGGGTGTGAAGGGCATGTGTGATGAGGGAAGGAGGGAAATGGAGCATGCACTTCAGTCCACCTTCCTCGTTAGTTTTCAGGTTCCTGATTTCCAAGCTGGATCCTCAAATATGTCAACAGTCTCCACCCAGACGACCTGCAATAGCAGCACTTCAATGGCCCCCACCTTCTTGCTGGTAGGCATGCCAGGTCTGTCAGCTGTGCCCTCCTGGTGGGCCGTCCCCCTGGTCACTCTCTACCTCCTTTCTGCCCTGGGAAACGGCGCCATCCTGTGGATCATTGTCATGGAGCGTGCCTTACACCGACCGATGTACGTCTTCCTCTCCCTGCTCAGTGCATCGGACGTTGGCTTGGCCACCGCCCTAATGCCCACCCTGCTGGGCCTTGCTCTTGCTGACGTTCACGTGATCTCGGCCTCGGCCTGTCTCCTCCAAATGTTCTTTGTCCATGTTTTCTCTGTCATGGAGTCTTCTGTCTTGCTCACAATGGCCTTAGACAGAGCACTGGCCATTTGCCGTCCTCTCCATTACCCCACACTCTTCACCAGTGGTTTTATCAGCAAGATTGTCCTGGCAATTGCTTTCCGATGCCTGGGTCTCCATCTGCCCCTGCCTTTCCTGCTGGCTCACATGCCCTACTGCCGCCCACAGGTCCTAACTCATTCTTATTGCCTCCACCCAGATGTTACCCGACTGGCCTGTCCAGGAACCTGGGGCGCAGTCTACAGCCTCTTTGTGGTCTTGTCAGCCATGGGATTGGATCCCTTGCTTATTTTTTTCTCCTATGGCTTAATTGGCAAGGTATTGCAAGGTTTTGGATCCAGTGAAGAGCGTTGGAAAGCCGGTCAAACCTGTGTGGCCCACCTCTCTGCTGTGGTCCTCTTCTATGTACCCATGATCCTCTTAGCTCTCATTGACCGCCTTCGGTTGCCAGTACCTCAGTCTGCCCACACTCTTCTCTCCTATGTCCACTTCCTGCTCCCTCCATTGTTGAACCCTATTCTTTACAGTGTCAAGATGAAGGAGATCAGAGAGCGAATACTCAAGAGACTGCAGTCCAGGAAGGTGGGTTTTTCTCCGTGAGGAAGTGTCTTTCCGCATTCAATGGCTCAATACTACTGGAGGCAAAGGTTCCCATGGCCATGCATGAAAAGGTCATTCCAGTACACATAAGTGCAAGTCTGAGTGGGCTTCAAAAAATTGGTGGACAAAGCTCACCCAAACCAAAAAACACATTGTCATGGAGATGATTCCAATTCACAGCAGCCCTCTGTAGGTTTCTGACTTTGTAAATGTTTCAGGAGCAGAGCCCATCTTTCTCCCACTGAGGGGCTGGTGGTTTGAACTGTTGGCCCTGTAGTTAGCAACTCAATACCTAACCCACAGTGCCACCAAGGTCCTTGGGAAAGCTCCATCCCCTTTTCATCTGTTTTTTCCACAGGCTTTTTGAAACAGCCTCCTATACTGATAAACGCAGGTGATCCATCCACTGGTACACTAAGTGTGAAAGGTCTAGAAAGAACCACAAGTCAAGTGTGTAACAATTGTGGTTTTGCTATGATTGTTAATTTCCATACTTCATTTAAGCTACCGGATAGCTCAATAAGCTAGAATAGTTACACAGCACAGCCACACCACAAAGGAAAGAGATGGTGGACATAATCTGCCAAACAAGACGGTGAGTCGTCCACGGGGGTGGACCACTCTCGGAAGCAGAGGGACTCTGTCTTGTCCTTGGGGACAGAATAAACGAGGAGGAGCCAGGTAAATCGCCTATTTATGCTCTTCAAACAACTTTATTTAGCTTTTACAATGTAAGCATAATTGTGAATATATAAAGACAAGTTCGTTGTTAAATTTTCAAATAATTCTAAAATAATAAAATAAGAATCACCTTGAATTATATCATCCACATATAACCACTACTATCATTTTACATAGGTCTTAACATATTTGCCATGATTCAATGACATTAGTTATATTTATCATGCTATTATTGCTTTTTCGGTAAATACTAATACAAGTAAAGTCTTGCCTAAATGGAATACTATATGTGGTAGATGAAATAGTTGGTTTTAATTCTTTTAGGGGGGCTCTTAAGTCTTTATACCTTCCTAGTAGTAATATTGTATACCTTCACTTACATAATGGGAGTTAGAGAGGGTCGACTTTGACTTTGAGCTTGAACACATATCTTGCTCTGGTTAATCAGGTCTAATGAATGTGGTAAGAACAGAAACTTAACCATGATTCTGCAGTGCTGTTTGACATCTTGTGTTTTAAGTGAATCCTCAGGTAGGTGCTGTTCTTCAATCTGGTCCTCAAAAGGAGACATATGTACACACCATACACCCAGCCTAATGCCTAAAAGCAATCCTAGATGACTGGAGATGAGAATATAGCCACCAGGTCAAGACAGCATAGATCAAAAGGACCTTTTAACCTAATACCTGGTCACCATGGTAATAAATGCTATGGTTAGAAGTAACTGAGAAGCCCAATGTACTTCTTTCTCTTTGAGATTGGAATCAGTGAAAGTTGACTAGGATAGCATGTTTGTTGTTTAAAGCTATACCAAAACCCTCACTCCATTGAGTCAATTCTGATTCATAGCCTTCCTATAAGATAGGGTACAACTGCCCATCTGGGTTTCCAAGATTAGAATCTCATTTCTTCCTGTAGAATGCTAGTAATTTCTAACAGCCGACCCTGCCATCAGCAGCCCCAATACAGAACCCACTGAATTAAGTATCATTAATTTCCTGGTGTATTTTTCTTGATGCTTATCTATTTATTAATATACATTTTGGTGGTATGGCATAAAATTAAATAATATCATGCATGTCTTTCTTTAGAGAGAGACCCTCAGTAAGATGGATTGACACAGTGGTTTCAACAATGCATACAAATAAACCACAATGGTGGGGCTGGTTTGGGACCAGGCAGTGCTCCCTCCTGTTGGAGCTAGAGTCACTGTGAGTCTGACCCCAGGGCATTTAACAACAACAACAACAAAGCTTTCCTTCTGGTTGACATCCCTCACAGCAGCCCAGAACACTCAAACTCCCCACCACTTTCCCTGATGGATGCACAGCAGCCCTGGAGGGCCAGGGAGACCTGCCCCTATGAGTTCGGGAAGCTGTCATGGTGAAGAAGAGTAGAAAGCCCCATCTTTCTCTAGCAGAGCAGCTGCTGGTTTTGAACAGCTGACTTGGGTCACAGCCCAACGTGTCACCACGACACCATCAGGGGTCTGTCCAGGTCAAAGAGGATAGATGTCAATCATTGAAATGCCTGGAAAACATTCCATAGTACGGATGGATTAAAATGGATGGAAACATTTCCATTTAATGGGTGTTTGCCTTGTCGTCAGTGTTTCTTTTGTTTTGTTTTTGACACTCTGGATAATGTTGTCATGATCCTTCTTAGACAGGGGAGTTAGAGATCCCAGGACCTCATTTCAAAGCCTTATTTTAAAGAAAGCAAACTGTAACTTGGGACTTGTGGAAGATACGTACCTTTGCAAGTCAGTGTCAGATCCTAAACTGACACCAGCACTCCTGCAGCCTCTGTGCACGAGAGGACTTCAAAGTTTGTGGAAAAAGGAAATGAAAAGATAATGGTATTTTTTCCATGAACTTTTGAAGCCCCCTTGTATTTATTACTCTAAGTGAAAGGAAAGCTACCAAGATGGTGCAGAGGTTAAAGCACCCGTCTGCAAACTGAAAAAACGAGCATATGTCAGAGAAAGAAAGATGTGGCAGTCTGCTTCTGTAATCTACATGTGACCTCTTCCCTGGGGGACGGACAACAGAAAAGTGGGTGAAGGGAGACGTTCAACAGGGCAAGATATGACAAAATAATAATAATTTATAAATTATCAAGGGTTCATGAGGGAGGAAGGGGCAGGGAGGGAGGGGGTAAAAAGAGGACCTGATGCCAGGGGCTTAAGTGGAGAGCAAATGTTCTGAGAATGATGAGGGCAATGAATGTACAAATGTGCTTTACACAATTGATGTATGTATGGGTTGTGATCAGAGTTGTATGAGCCCCTAATAAAATGATTAAAAATAAATAAATAAAATTATAAAAGAATTTACAGCTTGGGTCTGGAAGCCATATGAGAAGGTTTGGCAATGAGGTCGATTGGGGGCAATTCAATGGAGCAGCTCATTCTCACTTTCACAGCAGGGCTTTAGCTGCTATTTCCTGTTTCTCTTTCCTCCCCCTGTCTACTGGCCACCTCAAGAGCAAGCCTGTCAAAACCGTGAGGTGCTGTTGTCATTTCAAACCAGCAGAGGGCAATGTTCTCTCTCTTCAGATTACTCGGCATTTTAAAGTCATTAAGACATTTGGGAAACACATCCTCCTGTAATCTGTGGAGATGAAAGCACCAGCAAGAAATTTAAAATTTTAAACAAACTATATCAGCAATGCGGGAAGTTGGATGGAGCATCAGATTAGGAATAGCTTTGAAGAGTGGGTTGGTCCCACTGTGAAGCAAAGCTTCAAATTCCACCCCAGAATAAGTGTGAGAGACCTAAAGAGATGAGATTCAGAACGCAGAAAGGTATCATAAATCCGAATGCCTGGAAAGCCTGACTTATAAATATGTGGAGCAGAGACACACTCATAAGGCTTTGAGTGTGCGTGGTAGAGACTGTAGCTGCCTCTTTCATGAGCTCCTACTGTGTGTTCCCACATGGCAATTAAGGAACAGCATTGCCAGCACTTTCCAGTTATTAAGCAGTTATAAATTTATATTTTATTTTAAATGATCTAGATGCTATCTTGCCAAACAAAACTGTCTGAGACTATATTGGCAAAGGGCAATTGATAAACAATATTCACTTAGTTGACCAATAGACTTGAGAGCAAATTAATGATTACTTTGGGATTCTGTCCAGACCAAGTGGCCCAGAAAAGTCAGGAAGGAAACTAGAGAACATTTTTCCTAACTCTGAGCCCTAACCCTTTCCAGTCCTCCCTCACAGAAGTAGACATCACGATACAAATGTGAAGGTTGTTGTCAGGTATAAGATCAATTCTGACTCACAGCGACCTTCTGCACACAGAAAGAAATATGGCCTCGTCCTGTGTCAACCTCTAACTCGTTGTTGGGTTTGAGGTCGTTGTTGAGCATCCAGGGTCCTCCTTTCTTTCACTGACCTTCCATATTACCAAAGACTAGAGGAAGCGCAACGCCTCACATGCCAGCTCATTCCATCTTCTGTGGGTTGTCAAGGATTCACAATCAATGTTCCTGGAAGCAGCTGTCAATAAGTCAATCGATTCATTGCATAGGGTGAGCATGCTGCACAAGACCCCTTTAAAGTGTTGAAGACCAAAAAATGTCATTGTGAGGACTAAGATGGGCCAGACCCAAGCCATGGTATTTCTAGTTGCCTTGTATACCTGTGAATGTTGAACACTGAATAAGGAAGACCGAAGAAGAACTGAGGTATTTGAATTATAGTATAATGCTAGCAAAGAGTCCTGAAAGTACCATGGTCTACCAACAGAACGAACAGCTCTGCCTTGGAAGAAGTAGCCAGAATGTTCCTTAAAAGTGATGGTGACAAGACTGTCTCCTGCACTTTGAACATGTTTTCAGGAGAGGCCGATCTCTGGAAAAGAACATCGTGCTTGGTAAAGTAAAGGGGCAGTGGAAGAGAGGACAACCCTCCATGAGATGCATCAGCACAGTGGCTGCAACAATAAGTACCCAGCACAATAACTGTGAGGATGGCACAGGACCACGTGGTGTCTCCTTCTTGTTGAACACAGGGTCGCTATGAGCCAGGACAAAGTCAATGGCGCCTAACCACAACTGTCGGTTGGTTTCCAAATCCTCAGTCTGTAAGGACATTATATCTTAACATTTAGCCGCAATCCTGTGTCTCTTAAATAAGGATGACACAATCTTTGTCTCTCGGCTCACTGCCATTGAGCCAATGCCAACTCATCGTGACCCCATAGAACAGGGTAGAACGGCCCCTGTCAATTTCTGAGACTAATTCTTTACAGGAGTAGAAAGCCCCATTTTTCTGCCAGATAGCTGCTGGTGGTTTCAACAACCAACC